GTTGAACAGATTAACAAAAAGTGGCGTAAACATACAAGGGAATATTATCCAGCCATAAAAAGAAATGAAGTACTAAGACTATGCTATAACACAGATTAATCGTGAAAACTTTAAGTGAAAGAAGACAGTCACAAAACCACATATGATCCAATTCATATGAAATGTCCTGCACAGGGAAATCTATGTAGACAGAAAGTAGAGTTGGGCTGGGTGAGGAAATGAGGGGGGGGGGCGCGGGGGGCGGGGATGTGATAGCTAAAGGGTACAAGGTTTTTTTGGAGGTCAAGAAATTGTTCTAAAATTGTGGTGGTAGTTGTACATAAGTGACTATATTAACTTGACTATATATAAAATATATATGTGTGTGTGTCTTAGTCCATTTCTGCTGCTATAACAAATAACTGAGACTCGGTAATTAATAAAGAACAAAAATTTATTTCTCATAGTTCTAGAGGCTGGGAAGTCCAAGATCAAGGTACCAGCCTCTGGAGTCCGGTGAGGGCCTCTCACTGTGAACTGACAAGGCACAGGGCAGTAGTGCAAAAAGGGGATCCTAGCTAGTTCCCCCCAGCCTAATCCATGCATTAGAATAGAGCCCTCATGACCTTATTACCTCCCAAAGGCCACACTTCTTAATCTATCATTCTGGAGACATGAAAAGGTCATGGAGGGCACAAACACTTAAAAATCACTGTATTCCATTCCTGGCCCACCAAATTCATGTCCCTCTCACATACAAAATGCTTTCATTCCACCCCAATAGCCCCAAAAGCCTTATCTTGTTCCAGCACCAACTAAAAAGTCTCAAGGCCAGGTGTGGTGGCTCACGTCTGTAATCCTAGCACTCTGGGAGGCCGAGGCAGGCAGATTGCTCAAGGTCAGGAGTTCAAAACCAGCCTGAGTAAGAGCGAGACCCCATCTCTACTATAAACAGAAAAAATTAATTGGCCAACTAATATATATAGAAAAAATCAGCCAGGCATGGTGGCGAATGCCTGTAGTCCCAGCTACTCAGGAAGCTGAGGAAGGAGGATTGCTTGAGCCCAGGAGTTTGAGGTTGCTGTGAGCTAGGCTGACGCCACGGCACTCACTCTGGCCGGGGCAACAAAGCAAGACTCTGTCTCAAATAAATAAATAAATAAATAGTCTCAAGTCCAGAGTTCCATCTAACTATCATCTGAATTAAATATGCGTGAGACTCAAAGATATGCTTCATCCTGAGGCAAAATGCTCTACAGCTGTGAAATCAAACAGTTATATGCTTCCAAAATACATTGGTGGGATAGACACAGGACAGACATTCCCATTCCAAAAGGGAGAAAAAGGAAATAAGTAACAAGTCTCAACCAAATCCAAAGCCCAGCAGGGTAAACATTAAATCTTAAGGCTGAAGAATCATCTTTGATTCCATGTCCTGCCTGCCTTCTGGACCCACTAGAGCAGGGGTTGGGCCCCAAAGGCTCTGGGAAGCCCTGCCTCCAAAGCTTTGCTGGGTGCAGCCCACACAGCAGCTCTCATAGGTCGGAGTTGGGTACCTACAGCACTCCCAGGCTGGCAGTGCACACTGGTGGCTCTACAGTTATGAGGTCTCAGGGGCATCCCCGCCCCCAAGGCTCTCCAGGCACTGCCCTTGTGGGGGCTCTCTGTGGTGGCCCTGACCCCACAACTCTGCTGTACATTGCCCTAGTGGGAGCTATCTCTGGCACCCCCATCCCCATGGCTCCACTAGCCATAACCCTCAAGGGGACGCTTTGCGGCAGCCCCAACCTGCAACAGTTCTCTGCCTGAGCCTCAAGATTTCTTGAGGCATCCCTTGAAATCTAAGTGGAGATAGCCATGCCTCCACAGCTCTCGCACTCTGCACACCTACAGAGTTAGCACCACGTGGATGCCACCTATGCTTATGGCTTGTCCTTTCTGGAGCAGTAGCACGAGCTGCACCTGGGCCTACTTGAGCCATAGCTGGGGTAGCCAAGGAGCACTGCATTGGAATTTAGGGAGCAGAGACTTGAGACAGTGCTAGGCAGTGAATGCTGAGGTCCTGTGAACACCCAAGGCCCCTCTTCTGAAGTAGTTCTGTCCCCTGGGCCTTGGCATAGCAGGCCTCTGATAGGAATAGCAGCACTGATAATCACTGCAATGCCTTCCAGGCCATTCTTCCATTATCTCCATGGAGAGCATCTGGCTTCCTTCTAGCCATACTCATCCTATCAAAAGGTCCTTGGGCCACACTCTTAATGTTTTCTCCCAAGCATGCTTTTACAGCATGGCCAGGCTGAGAGTTCTCCAAATCTCTTAAGTTCTGCTTCCTTTCTGATTGTAAATACCATCTTTAATTCATTTCTCTCAGATGTTATGATAAGCAGTTAAAATAAGCCATGCAGCACCCCAAATCCTTTGCTTAGAGATTTCTTCCACCAAATATCCTAGTTCATCACTCTTATATTCTGCCTTCCACAAAGCCAAGGGGCACAGGCACAGTTCAGCCAAGTTTTTTGCCCATTTGTATAGCAAGGATGGCCTTTCCTCCAGCTTCCAAGAAGATATTCCTCATTTCCATCTATGACCCCATCAGAATGGCCTTTACTGTCCGTATTTCTACCTGCATTCTGATAACAATCACTTAGGTAACTTTGAAGACTGAGGCTCCCTCTAAATCCCTCTTCTTCTGAACTCTCACAAAAGCCACCCTTAATACTCTGTTCACAGCAATCTAGGCTTTTTCTAGTAAAACTTCCAAACTGTTCTAGCCTTTATCCGTTACCCAGTTCCAAAGCCAATTCCACATTTTTAAGTATTTATTATAGCAACAGGCCACTCTCAGTATCAATTTATGCCTTTGTCTGTTTGTGCTGCTATAATAAAATACCACAGACCAGGTAATTTGTAAGTAATAGAAATTTGTCTCTCACTATTCTAGAAGCTAAGAAGTCCAAGATAAAGGCACCGGCAGGTTCAGTGTCTGGTGAGGGCCCCTCTCTGCTTCCAAGATGGCACCATGTTGCTGCACCCTCCAGAGGGAACAAACACTGAGAAAACCCACCCCTCAAGCCCTTTTATAAGGGCCCTAATCCCACCCATGTCTGCCCTCATGGCTTAATCGCTCCCTAAAGGCTCTACCTCTTAATACTATCATATTGACCATTAGGTTTCAACACATGAGTTTTAGGGGATACATTCAGACCATAGCGATGTGAGTATACACACACATGTACATGTTAATTGCATATTATCTGTAAATATACTGATCGTAATTGAATTAAACACTTCAAATTTAAATGGGTAAATTGTATGATATATTAACTATGCCTCAATAAAGCTGTTTTGTTTAAAAGAAGGCTCTATGAAAGACTAGACCCATGAAATAGCACAAAAGGGGTTTTATGCTCTCAAATTTGGAACCACTATAGTCTAGCCATCTTCCTCTTGGAGTACATCATGAAACACAAAATTTTCTGAAAAGTTTTGCAATAAATAAACAAACTTTGTCCAACCCAATGTTTCCAAGTTTATTTGGCAATGGACTATTACCTCTAATAGTATCTATTGACCTTATGAAGCACTAAGTTGTCCACACGCCCAGGAAGATTCTTGATGACAAAAGAATGGGGCCCAAAGTCCCATGGTGTCCATCAATGCAATTTTTGAGTGATTAGGGTAGGCACAAATAAGAATTCAAAAGTGTCTTCCTTAATCCAAGGAAGGACTTTGGTGGTAGAATTTTTCAAAAGGTGGCACTATGGAGAGGTGATCCACACAGTGGATTCTTAACACAGGGTGCAGACACATAGGTACAAGTAAAACAAAAGCTGCTTTAATGCCACATTCCCTAAAAGAAAAATAACAAGACAAACCAACCTTATCTCCAGGGCTAGGGTCAAGTTCGGGATGACAGAGGCAGGAAAGGGCCCCAGCAGGCAGCCTCCGGGGCATCTTTGTTGTTTTCCTCCATGGCTGGAAGGCCCCTCCCAGTTCCTGGCTGTGAGGCACCAACATGAAGGTGCTAAACAGAGACCTCGAAAGAAGTGAGCATTGGGGGAGGAATAACTCTAACCTTTCCTAGGGAGAGGCAGAGATATACAATGTAACCAAAAGGTCAAAAAGAAAAAAAAAAAAACAAAAAAAACTTTTATCAGGTGGTGGGCAGATGGGAGGGAGGAGGAGGGGAAGGATATACACTTACAAAATAGGTGCAATGCACCACCTGGGGGTTGGACACGCTTGATGTTTTGGCAAGGGGGGTGGGGGGGGGGAAGAATGGCGGGGCAATATATATAACCCTAACAATATTTGTAACCCCATAATATGATAAAATAAAAGGAAAAAAAAAAAAAGAAGTGGGTGTTTGAGTTTACAATCTCAATGTGGATATAAATCCCACTTTCTTAAAAGAAAGGCAGGTAGGGCTTCCGAATCTATTCAAGATTCAAAAGGTTTCAAACCTTTCTAAAAGTGTTCCATCATCATAAACAAAAGAGAAACTACTGAATAAAACCCACAGGAATCTAAGCAAATGTCAAAACAGAATACTGTGCAAATATTTGTCATGGGAATAAAGTATGGACAAATTCAAGAATGTGACTCATAACAATGTAGGGCTAATCACTGGAAAACTCTTGGTAAAAATTCTTGGATTAAGGAATAACATTATTAATAATAGATCTTATAGGGTAAAATGTCTTTTTCAGAGAATTTCTAGAAAAAAGAAACTAAAGATAAAATGAGGAGAAATATATTAAGACCTCACTACACAAAATGAGGACATGACCCACTGCACAGGCATCACCTGGGCACTGGTCAGAAATGCAGAACCCCAGGGCCCGCCTGCACTGACTTAGAAGCTGCATTTTAACATAAGCTCTAGGACAGTTATGTACATATTAAAGCTTAAGAAGCACTATTTTCAGAAGCGAAATTTGCCAGCCCCCTTTAAGAAAATAAGTAAGTGAAAACCACCAATATCACTAGTATCCAATCGACGTAGGCCATCCCCTACTCACCCTCCCTTCCTAGGCGAGTTTCATCATTTTCCATCCAAGTGTGGCAGGAAGAGACTAAGGAGACAGACGGGCTCCTCAAATACCTGTTGAGTGAATGATGGGAAGGGTCCCTGTCAAAAGCCATCCAGACCACTCCTTGCCATTCTCATCCGGCTTTAGTGCTGAACAACTGCTCACAGCTGCATGACCACCATGAGCTAAGGCAAATAACCATTCCTGAGCCACCAGCACTACTCTGACAGCACTCAGAAGCTGGCTCCCAGACACAGCACAGGAAAGGAGAAAAATTATTTGTAGGTGACCCAAAGGTAGCATTTACATTTAGAATTTCCTTTTCTCCCTAATAACAGATTTAAGCCTGGGGCATTTGAGTTCAGCTCAGACTATTCCAGATGCCTGCAGGCAACTCTCCACAGACCAGGAATGTTCTGGAAAGATAGTCCTAAATTCCCTGCCAAAGAAGGCAGAGAAAAGAATCAGCAAATGGATCCAATAAATGTCTACTGGCCCCCCCAATCCTAGCCACACCTCAGCATTTTCCTGCCCCTTTAATGTAACTGCTACCAGCCTCAAGAGGAGCAAAGCCCACTCCACATGGGAAGAGGGAAGGGGAATACTCCTGAACAAATCAGAATAAACCTTCCTGGGAAGGGTTCAAGCACCGATAGGGTTCAGGATGTATTAGGACTTTGGGGGTCATTTCCAACTGGTGAATCCTATGAAATATAAGTAAATACGGTCCATCACACCAATTTTGGATGTGATGTGTGGCCTTGCCCACCGCCAGATGTGCTTCTCAGTGTCCTGCACTGGGTGGATCTGGGTTTACCCTGGGGACTGGGCCAAATTCTTTTTTTAAGTCTGATGAAAAAGACAGAAACAAGAAGGCCCACACAAAGGCCTCTTTTGACATATGCACCCAGATCTCCGAGGGCCCACAGGGTTCAAACTGCCTCAACACCAGCCCTCAGTCTGCCCTTGATCCTCCAGTTAGGCATTAACTCTGGCAGACGGGAGGTGCCAATTTTCTAACCTAATCATCAAGCCCAGTGGCTAAAAGGCCCAGTACACATAGCATCAGTTCTCAAACATTCTTCCCATAAAAATCACTTGATGTTCTTCACAAAGATGTGGGATTCCAGCTCTCAAGCCCAGAAAGATCTGAGAGGGGCCTGCAGATATGCCCGGAGAGGTAGGTGGCTCTGATGTGGGTGGTTCAGAGGTCACAGCGTGGAAAACCCCGGTCTTTCCTACATGTTCTTCTACCTGGGCATCATTAGAGTGCAGCCTCCCAAGCCTGAAAGGAAGGTAAAACTGTTCTAGTCCAAGCCAGTTTCCGAAGACATTCTTACTAAGTCACAAGTACCACACTCCAACAAGCTGCCTAGCTTTTGTGGGACCACAAGGGCTCAGTGTCAGTGAATTTAGGCTGTAGCGTAAATGTCACCACACTCCAAAATTCAAAAGATGCAGTGTTCTCTAAAGTTCAGGCGCAGTTCTGGGGTGGTAATTACATGATGACTGGAGAAGGAAGTGGTGATGGAAATCCTTAGGAGATGCTAAAAATAACTCACATTTTTATTCTCCCAATCCAGAACTTCTCTCACCTCCTTCGAAACACTAGTGCAATTGCCATTAACACCATACACTGCATTCTTCAGCAGTTAGTATGCACCATCCTCAGTCCTACAAGGATAACTATCATCCCTGTTTCATGAGTCCAAGTGCAGGAGCAAGCAGCAAAACAGGGGTCCAACCTGTAGTCGAAGCATCATGCACTCACATCCTACTTCACAATTAAACCATGCTTCAATGCAAGGTTGCCTAGCGCCCCAAATCTTAAACAAGGTCTCCGTACCACCTTTCTTCTCTGGAGTGACAGAGGAGAAGAAAATCCCAATAAGCCCCTCTCCCCTGCTCACCACTTCCCCTGTGCCCACTCAATACACAGAGCACACTGGCCCAGCCCAAAGAGGGAATGCCAGGGCTCTGCTCCCCCGCCGAGCAGGGACATCGCGGCAAACCCTAAAAGCAAAGGAACAGACGCAACAGACTAAAGGCAATACCTGAGCCTCCCGGCCACCAACACGCCAAAATCCCTGCAGTCAGTGCCTTTCAGACCTAATGAAAACAATGAGGAACTGGGCTAGGAAGGAGACGTTGGCTCAAACCGCAGCCTGCGGCCAAAAGCTACCTGTGTGTCAGCGCCTCCCACAGGTCTCCTATCAACACCCTGGCAGGGACTCCTGTCGTCAGCGGACAAATGGCAGCCGACCAAAGAGACAATCAACGTGTAAAACAGGTGATCCGACTGTTTTTCTCAAGAGCCAGGGCAGGGGAGCGCTGCGTGTGCGCGCGAGCATCTGTTGAGCTCCGCGGCGAAGCGAGCCCGAGCCCGAGCCCGAGCCCGAGCCCGCAGCGCCGGCTCCTCTCCGATTGTCTGGCGCGCTCCCTGCCGGGCAGGGGCTCTCCCGGAGAAAGACGCAGTGTGACGAGACGTGTTTCTCCGAGGCGTTTTTTATCCCAGACTATCTGCCATCGAGGTTTAAGACAAGTACCAGGCAGGCCTTGGGATTCTGTTCTGAACAGAGAAAAAAGGTCTGGTGCCCGGATGCCGGACCGCTCGTTCCGCGGCTGGTTCCCACACCCGCCGCCGCCGCGCGGCCAAGCGCCGCGATCGGGTTCTCCGAGCCTCGTCACAGGTTTATGAGGGTGCAGTTATTACTTGTTACATAATATCCAACAATTAAGATTAAAAATGGTTACATAATGCTGTCCTGCAGCTAACGCCAACGGAGGCTCCCGAGATCCTGGACTGCGGACGAGACGGCAGCGCGCTGCGGGGTGGCGCGCCCGAGGCCACCAGCCGGCCCCTCGCCGTGTCCAGCCGGCACGGCCTCGCAGGGCTGGCCCCTGCCCACCAGCCGCAGCGACCGACCGGGTCACCCCTCGCCCCCCACGCGTCGCCCCCGGCAGAGCCCACCTGCGTACCTGCAGACCCGGCTAGCGCGGCATCGGCCGCACGGGGTCGCTGCGTGCGCGCCACCGGCCGCGGCCGGCTCCGGCCCAGCCCTGCAGTGCCCGGCGCGTGGACAGCGCTCCGCATGGACAGCGCTCGGGGACGCAGCCGGGGCTGGCGCTCCGCGGCTCCACCCCAACCCGGCTCGCACCGCAGAAACCCGAATGGGGCGCCGGAGCTGCGCGGCCGCGGCCGCGGCCGAACGCGCTAACACGGAAAGCGGGCCGCTGCCGCCTCCGGGGAAGCCATGCCGGCAAGGGTGGGATGCCGCGCCGCCGCCCGCTCGCGCCCGCTCGCACCCACCCCCATCGCTGCGCAGGTGCCCGGAGGCCCTGCAGCCGAGCCGGCCTGCTGCCCCGACCACACTCCTCAGCCTCCAAGGGACCGGGCACTCCTGAGAAGCGGAGGACGAGGGACGCTGCGCCCGGTCCTTGTGCACAACAGGAATCCCAGGACCAAACCCATGTGACGCGGCCACGCCCCAAGGCCCGGCGGGGGCCCTCTGCTGCCCAATCCCCGGATCCCTGGTTCTCATGGCAACCCTGAAGAACCCCTTGTTCCCTCCATCGCCTCCTCTCCTCCCCCACAGGCCCCCTCCGCGCTGACGGGCAAGGACACACACACTGGCCACTCTCATGATGCCGAAAGTCCTCCATGTCTACCCGTTAAACCACATACAGAGCCCGGGGCTGGGGGGAATCTCAGGCCCACCGCAAGTCGAACATCCGCCCGCACCACTGCTCTCCCCACCTGCAGGGGTGGGGGGAAGGGAGGGTGTAGGGCTGTGTGGCCGCCAGGGCCAGCCAGCTCTGGTTTTCCAGGATCGCTATCGTCTCACACGCCTCCCCCCAAAATGTCAGAGCAAGTACAACCAGCAGGGAGAGGCTCTTTCTGTGAGCCACAGGCATAACGCTGCTGGACGTTAAGGAGAAAGTAGGGTTCCATGTAAACTGAGAGTTAGGGAGGAAAATAATAAATCTACACATCAAGCATCTGCTATGTGCTAGTGTGAGTCACTTTATACACACACACACACACACACACACACACACACACGCCTGCAACAAAGGAAGCAAAAAGAAGGTTTGGAGTTAAGTTATTTTTGTAAGGCCGCAGAGTAACCAGTAAGCAGCAGATTTTACACTCCTCTCTAGCAGAGAACACGTAGGAAAAGCCAGAAGTTGTAGCTGGCAGTAAGAACACTAACCCTCAACAGTGGACAATGGATTCTGAAACGGAGCCGCTACACTGCGTTCACATCCACAAAGGGGGCAGGGAGCTGAGAAAAGCCCGTGGCAGTATAGTGTTCAGAGAAGCTACCCAAACCCAGTGTGCTCCAAGGCCAGCTCAGGTCCCCTAATGGCAGAGGAGGAGGCTAGAGAAACCGCACATATTCACCCCAGGGAGAAGCTCCAAGGTGCTCGTCACCATGAAATTCCAATATTTAAATCATATCAAAGGAAAACAGAGTCGAGGCGGGTTCTGAGAGCAACCAAGAGCAGAGCGTTCAACGCAAAACAAAGGGTAACACGCTTTTCTCCAAGTCTGGGCGGACTACAAACAGCCTGGCCTGCTCCGGGAGAGGCAGCATACCCATCGCCAAATGCGTCACAGTTTTTCCCTTTAACTAGGCACCTCCTCGGTGGAAATGTAGCAGAGTCAACATCACAGGTACAAAAAGGGAGATGGAAGCACAGAATCCAGCCCTGCGATTCAGGAAGAAATCAAAATGCAGAGAGATTAGGTAACTCGCCCAAAATCCAGAGCAAGTTACTGACAGGGAGAATCCTGTGTTCCTTACAGACTCGAGATTTTTCTGCGGTTCTGACAAGGTGACTCCACCCACCTCTGCAGTCAGCCCCGAAAAAGTGGCTGGGTGGCTCGGGTGTTCCTGGGCCTCCCTGCCCTGCTGCTCCCAGCTTGGACGGCGAACTCCTTTGCCTGAACATCACACCCACCCTGCAGTCTCCCAGGCTAGAACAACAGGTTGCTCAGGACAAAGGGCTTCCCACCACACTCCCTTCTATTAAAATATGCCAGGGGTCTCCACTGCTCCTGGAAGTGGCAAGAGCAGGGGAGAGACGATCCAATGGTGGCCAAGGAAACCAGAAAAGCCAGGTCTGTGTCTAACGGCTGACCAGACACACATTTTGTTTTGCTAGGACAACAGGAAGAATCTTTTAAAAGGCATAAAAGCTGGTAGACAAAGGGTAACTAACTTTGCAAATGCAAAAGAGCTGAAGGCTAAGCCAGAAAGGGAAGCTGAAGCCTGATATCCTCAATAGAAGTCCAGAAAGCCCCAGGAATTAAAACCATCATTTACCTCTGGAAAAGGGAAAGGGAAGATCCAAGACAAGAGGATCCACTGGAAGTCTAGGGAACAGCCAGGCCCTGGGTCCTTTCCCTGACTCACCGGCCAGGTGAATGCTAGGGCTTCTTTTCTGGAAATGGGGACAGGTCTCTGGACCTCGTAAGGAGGCACAGCCCAGCCTTTGGTCCCAGACTGAAAACAGTGGATCCACTGCAAGCTGCCATGTGCATCACACCAATGTCCCCAGCAGCTACCAGAGAACTACCTCTGAGGAAACTGAAAGAGGCCCCTCTCCAAGCTGAGGAGAAGAGATCTAAAGGCATGGGCATCAGGGGTGCCCCCACAATAAGCAAATGGGTGTCTGTCCACAGAGGCCACAAAGCCCCCACTCACATAGGGCCCTGGTCGGCTTTTGAGCAACGTGCTTTCCAAAGTGGGTGGACACAAAAGGGCTGCAGACATCTGAGCAAGCCTCTATCATGAAAGATGGGGCCAAACGGCACAGGACAGACATTTCCCACAGACATCACATGGGCTGTTGGCTGCACCTCCCGGGCTCTGTCCACAGTTCTGTCCACCCTCCCCTGATGGATCCCCATCCCCTACTGCAGAGCCTCCTCCTACCCAGGCCCCCAAAAGCCCTGCAGCCTGCACAGGAACCACGAAGCACACATGCGCCCAGCACCCACAGGGATGCACCAGGGCAACCCAGATGCACCCCTGGCCCGTGGTGATGGGCACTTACAGGAAATAGAGCCTCCACCTTGACCCCCTTCCCAGGGCCATCTTGAGGACTGGGCGCTCCTGACACAAGTCAGCCCCACACATGGAGCCCTCAGCTTCACTCAGTTCCAGGCGGTGGCCTCTCTGGGATCCTCCTTCCTGACTCCCTCCACCAAATTCGCACACCTTCCTACAAACACATGCATGCAAGTTTTTGCCATAGGTTCTGCCTTCCAAGTAAATAGAAAAAGTAGCAGAAACAAACAAGCAGAAAAATTAAAAGGAATATAAAATTTAAAAATTGGAGAGACAAAACTATGCAGGAAAAGTAAAAAAAATTAATATCTCTAAATGAAATAAAAGAAAATATTATGTATATGAAATAATAATGTGCCATTAAAAAAAGAAATATTCACTTTGGGGGTCAATAATGTGTCAAGGTAGGTTCATCAGCAATAAACATACAGAAGTCACAGCGGTGGGACAGGTTGTGTGTGGGGTGGGCAGAGGAGATATGGGAAATCTCTGGACTTTCCATTCAATTTTGCGGTGAATTTAAAACTGCTCTAAAGTCTATTTAAAAAAAAAAAGAATAATGAAACATAAAGAGGTCCTTAGAAATTAAAAATGAAAATAGAAACTAAAAATCCAATAGAAAGGTTTGAGGATATATCCGGAAACCTAAAACAACACAACATATATAGATCAAAAATAATGAAAGAACCAGTCCAGGTGGCTAAAAACCAAATAATAGCCATTCTAGAAAGAGAGAAGAGGGAATTGGAAGGAAAGAAATTAAAGAATTAATTCAAAACCATGTCTGGGGCCCAAAGGATCCGGAGCCTCCATCTTGAGGAGCCGTCAATATGCCCCACAACAGATGCAGACCAAACAAGACACATCTTCAAAAAAGTTCAGAATAAAGACACAGAGAATGTCCTGCAGCTTCCCAACATGACGAAATAAAAAACAAGGAAAACATTCTGGTGCTTTTCTGCACAAAGAACCAAGAAGCAAATGACCTTCATTCCCAGTCCCATTCTGCCTACCAGCAGGGGCAACCTTCAAATGTTTGAGGAAAAACTACCTCCAGCATAGAAACCCATATTCAGACCAACTATTAACTGTGAGGCTAGAATAAGGACATTTTCAGACAAAAATGTTCTCAAAAAATTTATATCCATGCACCTCTTTTTTGGAAGCTTTTATAGAATGTACTCCACCAAATTTTGGGAATATACCAAGAAAGACAAAGTCATGCGATCCAAGAGAAGGCCAAAGGGCAGTCCCAGGACGATGCAGAAGGATGATTCCAAGGCGACAGCTGTGCGGGAGCCTCCAGAGTGACTGGCCTGTCATGGGCTGAAGGACACAAGAGAGACTGCTTCCAAAAGATAAGACGGGCAGATTTCCTACGCGCCTCGGAAAGGAAACTTGCTCAACTGTGAATTTTGGAGGGGAGAGTGATAAGTACATTTTAAAAACTAAGCAAAAACAACTCCGGGAGAAAATAAAATGTCCTAGAAGACAATAGAAGTTATCGCAGTATACTACACGGCTCAGCTGCGGGCAGCATTTGAGAACTGTCCCAACGCCACATCCGGCCAGAGCCAATCGTACCAGAAAGACGACAGAGAAGAGTAAGCACAGGATGGGGACTGGACAACAGAACACGAGCCTCACCTTTGGAGAAGGGAAGTCAAAGAATCATATGAAAAACTGTGTTCTGGGAAAGTGAGGGTAGAAGAAGAGGCAGGTTGCCAGGAACTGCAATATTTAGACCTCTGTTTAGACATGCGGAGGTTTATACAGAAAAAATCTGCTGATAAGCCTAGTTACTTATGCGGAATTATCTGATCTTTAAACTACATCCCTACATCACTCTGATTAAAAGCTCAAACTAAATTTAACAATAGTCTGCCCTGAGTGTGGAGGAATCAGAAAGCCAGGTGACCCTTTAGATGAATAGAACAGAGACACTCACATGGTGGGAACAGGCCAGGACAGGAGGGAGGCAGTGCCCCAAAAGGGCGGGGTGGGCCAGGATAGAGGCAGCCGCGCCCACTCAGAGCCCTGCAGTGGGAAGAAGGCCGTGCAAGCCCTGCGGTTAAGGGATGGCCCAACAAGGAAGCCAAACACCCTCTCTCCGCCTTATCCCTCTGAAGATTCATCGTACTTCTAGGGAGATGCAGGCCCAGGTGCTCAATGTTCTCATCTCTCTAGGAACATCTAGGGGTTTCTGTGGGATGCACACAACTTTCTTCAGCAGAAAGCAGGCAGCACCCTAGAACAGGCACCTAGAGGCTCTCAGGTAACACACCCACAGCCTGTGCTGGGCCAGGGTGGCACTCAATTCATGGTAGCCTCTGGTCACTATGAGTTTCTTGGAGCATGGAATCCTAAATTATTACTATGAGCTCTGTGGTATTATAAAAGTTTTTCCATTAAAGAGGGTTCTTTATTTATAAAAGGTTAGAAGCCACTGCCTAGACATGCCCAGGGATGAAAGCTAAAAATCTCAATAAACCAAAGGCATCACTCACAGCAAAGTGAGGACCTGCAGTTTCACCAGGACCCAGGCTGCCTGTAGTGAGTGGCCCTGAAGGCTCCGTGGCCATGGGCTCCCATATGACAGGACAGGAGAAGGTACAAAGGGGGTCTTCTGCCACCCCTCATGATCCCCCAATTTTCAGAGGCCCCTGTGGAACTCCCAGAGTGACACAGCTCACAGACACAGGCAGACAGACAGGGCTCATGGTGCAGCTCCGCCTGCACTGAAACAGCACACAAGGATGCCAACCCCCTACCTTGCATTAGTTGAGGTGACATTAATGATGCCAGGATTGAGGACCAACATATGCTGAGCTCTCTCTGTGCCAAGTGGCTTTACAAGCCCATGTTAATAGGCAAAACTGCAGGTGCTGGTGCCTGGTCCCATTTACCTGGCTCAAAATCCTCCCAGGACTTCAGGGCTCAGAGCCACATCTCGGGGGTACATGAGCCTGTCCAGGATGAGCAATCCATGTTCATTTCAGTCCCAGCTGGGATAAGTGCCTCTGTGGAGTCCAGACACCAACCACAGGGCTCCACAGGCCTGGAGACCAGAGGTCTCTCTGCACACCCAACATTGCAGCCCATCGGAGCTTGTGCACCACAGGGGCCTTCGCATCTTTTGCTCCTGGTCACAGAGAGCCAATTTGTTACATCTGCTCTTCACTGTAGTCTGGTTCAAATGGTTTGTAGCCAAGTGAAGTCTACAGTCTACCATCTATCTTTGCTCTTAGAGTCCTACCTGTGAGGAGTTCAAACTGTCATGCTAAACATAGTCAACAAAAGGATTCTTACTAACAGTGACTGTTGCTCAAAGAACATTCAGATCAATTCAACAGGGTTTTGTGCATCTAACATGTGCAAAGCACTGGAAGATGAAAATACAAAAAGTTGATCCCCTTTCTAGCAGAACTTACAAATTATTAATAATAGAAAGCCGGATAATCAAGTACACAAATTGCTCTAAGACAAGGCTGACTGTGCAAAGTGCCTGCACACAATGCCGCAAAGACAGCATGTGCCGTGCACCACGCTGACCGTTCACACCACTCAAATCTAATCCCGCCTTCGCGACAACCCTCAGAGGTAAACGCTCTTACACCTTTCATTTTAACAGATGAGGTTAGTCAACTTGTTCAGGCTGGCCAAACTAATAAATAGTACAACCAGGAGTCAAACCGAAGCAGTGTGCCTGGAACTGTCAATGTTGGCTGCTGCCCTGGTCAAACAAAGCAAAAAGGAAGCAACATTGGGGGAGGGGCAACACCTCCCCAACACCCATTCCCAGGGTTAACAACAGTCCACTCTGTTGCTGAGCCCAGTCCAAATAACAAGCTCTTCAAATTAGGGATCTGGATGATCAAGGAGAATCTCCCCAACATTCATATGGAAAGTAGATAGTAGAAAAATATTAATATCCTAGGACAGGGGGAAAGGAAAATCTCCTTAGAGTCGGTATATCCCAAAAGGTAAAAAAAAAAAAAAAAAAAAAGAACCACTCATTTCTACCTCTGAAATTATTTCTGATAACCCTGGGAAATGGGTTTTTTTGTTGGCATCTCAAAGGACAATCACACCATTTGTCATTCCATTATTAAAGAAGAGCCTGCCTTTCCACGAGTGAGCGGGTGGTTTTAAGCTTTGCCTGCTTTTATCTCCTTACAGTTAACAGGCCCCGTGATCACCAGGAACGTGGGCAAAAGCTTCTCAAAGACATACGTGCAGAAAAGCTCATCCCTCAGAGATCAGTTCAGAAGTGCTCCTGGTGGGGGTGGGGAGGAGTCAGCAGCAAAGGTGTCCCAGCCAGGAGGATGGAGGGAGAACAGACACAGCTTCCTTCAAACATGCAGCCACAATGTTAACACAGATTAAATACCAGCAGTGCTTGATGCATTGGATCAGTAATACACCCATCAGTGTGCAGATCCTGAAGTACCCCAGGTCCCCAAAGTACCTAATTGTCAAGGCTCACCTACCAAGTAGCTTGACTACTTTAATCTCATCCTTAATCTCCCATACTTCTGTACTTCTACAGTTAAGCAAAAAACAGGTTTAAAAAAAAATTGCACGAGCAGAAAAGTTTTATTTAAATTCTTAACATAATGACCGATTACTTAAATGAAAGACAAGGCAAATATTTTCTTTCTCCTCACAAGCCCATGCAATGCCACGTTAGTTTAACAGACTGAGAAACAGACGTGGCGATTATGCAGCAAACATGGGAGTGTACAGGCTTCCCTCCCAGGAAACAGGACCAAAACCCCCTGTAGTGAGCTCTGACTTCTCACAGGCTGACAATCTAACCCTAGATATGAGCTCAAACACATTCTACCATCCTGCAGATTTCCCTTTCCCCTACAGTTAAGAGTAGGACAGAATTCTGAGGAAATGGGTTCTTTCAATTATGCCACCTTTAAAGCATTAGGTTTTATCAGATATACCAACCAAGAATTTCTACAGCTCTAAGATGAAGCTGAAGGCACAATAGATGTCTTTGTTCCAGCAGGAGTTTGGTTTCTATACATTATGAAGTCTCAGACCCAGACAGATCATCAAAATCAAGTTCTGAGCTAGTTCTCAGATTCTGACTTTGTTCTTTCCTTGCACTGGAGGCTGACTGAACACAGAGATGGTCACTGTAACTAGGCCAGGGCTGCCCTGGGTTCTGATCCTGGTGGCCACCACCATACAAAGCCCTAGACAAGTAGCGGCATGAACCTGCCCAGCTCTAGGTTCCTGGTTCACAAATGAAAAGCATTTCCACCAGTCTAACACTGCCCCCAAAATCACACAGACCACGAATGATATGCAGGAGATGACTTTAGGGGTACACAGCTTTTCTATTTTAATTACAGTAAACATAACTACCATATCAAACTCATGACTTTATGGATATTCAAGTTCCTTCCCAAAATAAATGTGTATTTAAGTATAAACAGTGAGTGGACTAAAATAAAATATCAATAATGGCCTCGCAACATGGCATTGATCTTGAAGGCTAGGAGCCACTGGACTTAGGTACTACCATCAAGAGCCTCTCAGTTCTACAGGTGTGTAACTGGCAGGCTGTATGTACCTGCTTCATGCCATTTCTCTTTCAGAGGTGTATGTACTTTTGCAGAAGCATAAAACATGAAAGACTAAAAGAATCCAAAGCTCAGGCTCTAGTGACAGCTTTGTTAGTTGCTGGCAGTATGACCCCAGGTGTGCCAATTAACCTCCTGAGCCTTGGTTTCCAGACCTGTAAAATGGGGATCAGGAGCTGCAGAGGGGATTGAAAGCAACGAGGCTTCTGAAAGCGGCTTGCAAACTGTGAAATGCTGCAGAAATATCAGTCCCTTCCCGTCTCAGTTACAGGAGCAATGCCTGCCGGGTGCGTAACTCTGTCCTCAAATTCCCTCCTAGTAATCTGGGCATTGGCCTGTACAGCCCTGCTCTCTCAAGTGCTCCCAGTAAAACTCAAATGCTACGTGCAGTAATCCTAGAATTTCGATTTTTAACAGAAAAACTTAGACATCTAGAATCATTCCTGGAAATACATTTGGTTTCAGGGCTTTTACTTAAAATGCTCTCCTAAAAGACATTTCACCATGCTATAGCCAGAATTCCCTCTGCTGTGGAAACCTAGAGTCTATCTTTCCTCCTGGAAAGAGAAGAACTCTGGGTCAACTTTGTTAAAATATTACCAGCATTGTGTTGTAAACCCTAGTCAAGCCTGTTGCTGCGCTAACAACATGTGTTCTTAGTAAAACTGAGCAAAACATTAAATAGACCACCATTTCTGAAACTCGGGGGCTCCAAACGGCTGAATCAGCATTTTCAGAAACAAAGTGTTCTGGGCCTGGCCTTTTAAACGGCAGCAACAAGAAAGTTGTGCAATAACGCGTATTTACTCACAAGCGCTACTTGTTTTGGTCTTTTACTTTTGCATCTCTTGAATGAAACTGGGCACTAAGTTTGCAAGAAAACTTTCTTTCAAATGCATGGTAAAGATCCCGGACCCTGGAAGATCACCTGTGGCTCTCCTACATTACCCAACGTTTCGGTTAAAGCAATCGACAAAAAGTTCGTGTTTCTTCCAATCCCAAGAAAAAACGAACACAAAAAAGAGTAAAGAATCCCCCAATTTCCATAACGCACATGCTCGAGGGCAGTCGCCAAGGCAGGCGTTTGGAGAGGCCATCAGCAAAGGCAGAGAGTTGCATCAGAAATTTCCTTCTGCAAACGGTACCGCTCTTATCACAGTTCCACGGCTGGCGGACGGCTAATCCGCGAGCCCTCAACTTGGTGTTAGGCCCCAGAGGCGGGTAACGGGTCACAAACAGAACCCCCAGAAAAGATCCTCCGCCCGACGCTGGGCCGGCTCTGGACTTGGAGCGTGTGGCACCGCTGCCCGGGCCGCCCCGGGGCGCGCCACGGCCCCGCCGCGCAGCGGGAGCACCCGGGGCTGCCGGGGCGCCTGGCGCCCACCCTCCGAGGGGGCGGCCCCTCGGAGCTAGGCCTTGACCGCAGCCCCCGCCCGGCCCGCGAGCCCGCGGCGTCTGACAAGATGGTTCAAGAATGCGCCGCCCGGGCTCCGCACCTCCCCCCAGGGGTCGGGAACGCAGCAGAGCTCGCCGGGGCGACCGGACGCCGCCGCCGCGCGCCCACAGCCCGTCCCAGCCTCCCGTAGCAGCCGCTCCGCGACGGCCGGGGCCGGAGCCCTCGCCCGAGCGACGCCCTTCCGCCCGCCGGCCTCCGCGGGCGCGTCCCGCCCGGCCCGCGCAGACAATGACGCGGGACCCCCTGGCCGGCCGGCCGCCGGGGCGCCGACCACAAAGTAACTCGCGCCGCGCTCCCCGCCCAACTCCGTACCTGCCGCGGCGCGGCTCCCAGCCGCCTCCGCGTGGCTGCCCGCTGCCCTCGGCGCCCGCGCGCGTGCGGGTCCCCGAGGGGCGAGGGCGGCGCAGGACCGTCCCGGGCGCCCCGCGCCGCCGCCCAGGGGTGCGCGGAAACTTTGGCTCCGCCGGGTCTCCGAGCGCCGAGCCCGCCCGCCGCCGGCCGGAGCTCCCTTCTCTCGCTGCCTCCTCCGGGCCTCCCCACCCCCTCGATGGGCCTTAAACTCGCCGGCCCCGCCGCCCTCCGCCTCTGCCGCCGCCGCCCGCTCCGCTCCATCCCGGCCCGCTTTTCCTGCTCCTCCTCCCGCCGCCGCCCGGACCGCTCGGCGGCCGCCAGCGCGGGAGGAGCCGCGGCCTGGGCACAGGGCGTGGCACGGGGGCGCCGGCCGCAGGCCGTGGGCCCCGACCCTCCCGGAGCCTCCTGCCCCGGGCCGGCGCGCGGGGACCCCGCCTCTGCTCCACGCGGGACCCCCGGTCGCGGGACCGCGACGCCGAAGCTCAGGCGGCCGCGCCAGCGAAAGACCAATCAGACCTGTCCCGAAAGGCAATTTGTGAGCGAACTGTTTGAAACTCAAAAGTATCAACTGCACAGTCCAAATCCTTTAACTCGGCGCGGCCGAGGGACGGGACGCGTGAGCCGGGGCTGCCCGACCCTGCGGTGCGCTGGCGGTCCCGGCCTGGGAAGAGGAAACCAGGCTTTGCTCACAGCCAGCGGGGTCTGGGGCCTCGCCTCTTTGAGCCCCAGCTTCCCCATCTGTGTGTGAGTATCGGAGGGCGGGTGGAGAGGGGACGCCCTTCATTTTCTCCTAGCGCTGCGAAGGCTGAGAGTCCTCAGGATCGAAATGGGCTTGACGTCCTGAGGACTAAAGCAGGGCATACTCAGAGATAAGTGACTTCTCGAAGGACTCCTGGATTAATGGAAGCCCTTGTCCTTACTTAGTATGATTATTAATGTCTCTGCCGGGTCAAAATTGTCATACAAATAGGTTAATAATAATTATATCTTTTTCTGGGTCTTGGTGTTATAAAAAGAGCTACAATAACTTGCCTTCATTTAGCATTCACTTTGTGCAAAATGTTCATGAATTTTCGGATTTAACTCCCACTGTGGTCCTCTGGGGTTGTTACTGGGAGGTGCCCATTGCACAGACTGTGAAACTGAATCTTCAAGAGGTTAAGTAACTCCCTGAAGGTCAAGTAGCTGGTAAGTGCGGGGTGAGGATTGGAAGCCATGTGCAGCATTGTGCCAACGCCCTTTTTAGGAACCTTTTTATAGCTCTTCTAACAGCGGTTTCTCCCGCCGTGAACAGATGTTATTGACGGAAAGGTCACCCTTCCCTGTAACTGGAACAGGCCTCCCTAAAGTTTCTGCCCATTGCCCCCAGCTCAGAAACCTCTAAGATGAAAATCAAGAGAGAATGATGCGAAAGAACCTTAGATTCCTGGAAGAAAGGAACACAAAAGTCTCCTATTGTAGGCAAAGGACTCAAAAGAAAATTAAAGAAGAGAAAACTCAGTTTGGGACAACTTCTCACAAGTGTGTAAGCTTTGAACCTTCTAGCTTTCTGAAGGCTACAGTCAGCAATGCATTTCTGCACCAGCCAGAAACCTGACAGGCAAGAAGGCTTTTATAAATGTGTGAAAAGTTCCTCCATACGCGGACACATGTTCTTTCTGAATCATTTGTGCGTAGGTTCCATACACCATGGCCCCTTGCCCCTATATACACTGGTGTGTCTTTCCTAAGAGCAGTGGTATTAGCTTACATAGCCGCAACACAGTCACCAAATTCATAAAGTTATATTGATAAAATACTTGTATCTAATCTAGGTCCTTACTCTACCAGTTTTGTTAGCTGACCTGATAATGTCCTTTGTAGTATTTCTTTTCCCCCTATTACAAGATCTGCTCTAGGGTTAGTTGTCTCAAAACTTAAGAGTTTTCAGACATTACTATTCACAGAGAAAGGATTGAGATAAATGTCCTCAAGTGTTTTCATGCTGGCATAGATCCCTAGAATTCCTAGGACAGGCCCTCATTCCCCACATTTCCTGGCTTACCGTAGACATCAGTGGGCAGGACTCATTCAGTACCACTTTCTGATACAGGTTCATGAACTTGTCACTCTTGTGGCTGTAGAAGCTGCAGCTGTCCCCAGTGCAGTGATCCTGGCTGAGCCAATCCTGTATGCAGATTGTATCTTAGAGCCTTCCCCTCCCTCCTCCAAACTCCACATGCCCACTGCCCACGCACTGTGCTGCCTCTCAGAAGGCCAGCGACCACAAATGGAATACAGCCATGCAGTATATAAGTTGTCCTGGAGAACCGAGCCTACTGGGGGAAAGACAAGTGTGGCTTTGTAGTTCAAGCACTTCACCAAGGGGAAATATATGAGCTAGAATTAGGTGTCAGGACAGGACAGGATTCTGTGATAGTGAGAAATTCGATTATCCAAACATGAGCTACAAGGCTCATTCAACTGAAAGTAGAGAATCTGATAAACTCTAATTTTTAAGTAGTAATGAATTGATTGACATCTGTCTCCCCTGTTGACTGTAAGCATGGTGATGGTAACCACGTTCCTGTTTACTAGTGTCTTTGCAGGAGGGGGAATGTCTGGCACAGAGAGGGCACTATTGAAATAAGTCATTGCTGGGGAATAGTATCCCACAAATGAATTTATCAGTAGTAGTCTATAAATGAATGGAATAAATAACTGATAAACTCTGAGACCTGGGTACCATCTAAAAACATTGTCAAGTATCCTTGGCAAAGGGAAAGGGAGCTGGGTGAATGGCGCCCTGACAGTTAAATGCTCTGACCAGCAGTGGCCCTCACTTCTCGCATGGGCCACTCACAGCTAGCCATCGCAAGCACATGGTGCTTGGGGGCATGCATACACCTAGAAAGCAGATCAGGAAACTGGCCACCAACCACCCTAAGGGCTGCCCACCCTGAGTGAGGTAGGGAGTGATCTGCAATCATAATACAATCAGTGCTTGTCCCCAAACACCTGAGGAGCCTGTTCACACTGCAAACCCCTGGGCACATCCAGAGTTCCACCTCCAGAGTTGATGTGCATTTTTAACAGACTCATGCACCATCTGCACACGCAGCGGTACTCCAAACGCTGCAGTTCTTTGAATCCACTGAACAAGAGAGGTTCGGGCTGCCCCCAGAGTCTGGAGGTGGAGGGCCTGGAGGCATTCCAGAAAGGCTTCCCAGTGGTGCCAATGCCTGGAGTCCTGGAGCATCAAAGATGGTAAGTTAGGCAAAGAGGGAACTAAAGAAGAGGACTTTAGGGTGGGGGGGACAGGTGTGTACCTCAGGTGAAAGCCAAGAAACACCTCGGCTCCTTCAGGGAGGAGCACCAAGGATTTGTGTTTAGTCACAGAAAGCTGGAGCTGGGACTGGAGGGTAGGGGTGGAGAGGCAGTCAGATTTGACAAGAGACCAAGCTGGAGGAGCAAGAAGGGACTAATTTGTCAGGTGCAGGCATGTATACTTAACCTAAAGGGGATGGGAGAGTACCGGATGTGCCCACCATGGTACCTACCAGCACAACTGGAAATGCTCTGTCTGTAGCCCCCAACAACCTTAGTTTTCCTTGATCCCCAGGTAGTAATTATTTTGATCAGGGGTGACACTTGGCCCAAGGATTCCTGTTCCCTAGGTGAGTGGGTCAGTGGCGGATGACCTGGCCAGTCAGATGTCTCCACCCAGGATTCTATTAGAAGGCTTGCAGTGGAGACTGGCGAGGAACAGCAGGTTGTACTCAGATTAAGGAGAGTGTGAGAAAGGAAGACCCAAGTGGATGCCCTCCTGCCTCCTGTCTCCGTGAACCTCAGCTAGTACCACTGTATTTTGAATTTCCATGAAATTCCATTTTCTTTATGTTGTCTGAATATAAACTCCCCTTTTCCTGAAGTATTAATAGCCTAAATCAAAATGCCTTTACAGCCCAAACAGGAGCTCACTGAAGGATGTTTCTTTCTTCAGGCTGGTTTATTGAGGTATAATTTGCTGACCAGAAAAGTCACCCTTTTTCAATGTACATTCTGTGGAGTGTGGAAAGGGACATAGTTGAAACCGGTGAAGATACAGAATAGTTTTGAACCTCTCATGCCCCTTGCAGTCTGCCCCACTTCCTGCTCCAGGCAACCCATATGCTTTCGTCCTCATAGTTTTGCTTTTCAAGATTGTCGTAGGAATGGAATTGCACAGTATGTAACATGGCAGAATGCACTTACAATTCATCCATGTTGTTTGATGTTTGATGTCCTTCCTTTTTAGTGCAGGTTAGGAGCCCACTGGGTGGATATGCATCAATTTGCTCATCCATTCACTGACTGGTGGAGATTTAGGCTAGTCCCAGTTTGGCATAGTTATGTTGGGAACATAAGTTTTCATTTCTCTTGGGTAAATAAAGGGGAGACTGCCAGGTCATACTAAGCATGTGTTTCACTTTTTCTGAAACTGCCAAACTATTTTTAAAGTAACCATGTTATTTGCATCTGCACCAAAAATGTATCTGAGTTCCAGTTGTTCTGCATCTTGACCAACACTTGCTATTGTTGGTCTTTTTAATTTTAGCCATCCTAATGGTATGTAGTGGGGTCTCATTCTGATTTTAAGTTGCATTTTTTCATGGCTGATAATGTTGAGCACTTTTTCATGTGCTCATTTGCTATGTATATATTAATAATTATTGTGTGTTTAAATCATGTGCCCTTGTTTTAATTGAGTTTTTGTTTTTTTACCATTGACTTCTGAGAGTTCTTTTTTTCGTTATCAGTCTTTCAGCAGATGAATGTTTTACAAATACTTTCTCCCAATCTTTTCATTTTTTTAACAGTGTCTTTCAAAGAGCAGAAGTTTTTATTGTATTTTATAGGTTCAATTATCAATTTATCATTTTCCAGCTTATTTTTTATATCCTATTTAAGAAATCTTGCCTAACCCAATATTGCAACAGTTTTCTTTTATATTTTATTCTAGAAGTTTTATAGTTTTAGCTCTTACATTTAGAGCTATAATTCAATTGATGGCATGAGACAAGAGCGAAGGTTCTTTTTGTGGCATATCGGTGTCCATTTGTTCCACTGAATGATTTGAAGGAGTTACGTGATCCCACTTGTGTTTTAGAAAGCTCAGTCTAGATCCAGTGGAGCCGGGAGACCAGTTAGGAGACTTGCAGGTGGGGATGATGGTGGATCATTGACATCAGGGAGGGACAGTATGGGTGAGTGTGGGATGTAGGTATCACAAGTCCCTGCCCCTCTGGTGGCTCTGGGCTTGTATGAGACCATGGAGCAGCAAGCACAGTGCCTGGCACAGATGGTGGGAGGCACAGCTCGGGGACCGCTCTTGGCCATTTCACTGTAGGAGAGAGCAGCATCAGAGAGCCCAGTGAGCTTGGCCCGCTCCCGGGGCACTCTTTCTGAGATAGGTGCATCTTTGTTGAAAGAGCACTGCACCCATCACGATGATTTGGGCTGCAGGGAACAGGGCAGGGCTCAACAACCTCATCCAGGACTTCTGCCCATGATCATGCTCAGGGTCCTGGCTTTGCCTGACACTTGCCCCCTGTGGTATCAAGATCACAGTGCAGATGCAGCTCCAGGCATCAGTTCCCCTGACAGCTGTGTCCAAGGGCACAAAGGGGACATTTCTCTTCCCTTGCCTCATGCTAGAAACCTCCAGAAGATTTCTTCTCACATTTCAGTGTCTAGAACATGATCTTGGGCCCATGCCCTAGCAGGAAGGAAGGTGAGAATGTGAGCATCTGGCATCTTTCACTTCTATATTGGGGGCAGCTTCTACCAGCAAGAAAGAAGAGGCAAGGATGGGGGTGGCTAGTAAATGGACAATTATTATTAATAAATAAAAGGACATGGCCAAGAGCGCATAGCCCTCAAGGCAATGAAAAGCTGAGACCCCCATCTTGTTGAGAAGTAGCTTCCTAGTAAAATGTAGCCTGGGAATTCGGATCCCAGGGATGACATGCAATTCTAAATCCCTGGGTATCCAAACCAGTTATGCCTCTAAAACATGAGCTCCTTTTCAGCCACTTAAAAAAAAAAAAAAAAAAAAAAAAAAAAAAAAAAGCCAGTTTAGCCCCTTAACTCAATTAGAAGTTAATTAACCATAAATGTAGTAACAACTTTACTTAATGAAATATATCTCCATCCCAATATACTTCATAGTTTTAATAACCAAAGTTCCAGAGCTAATAGGAGAATCCAAAATAAGAGCCAAATTATTTAATTGGTAAAAGTTATTTAGAACTGTTGGGGATTTAGCATTAGAATAACTCCCATGGTGTGCACGAGCGTTAGTGGATGTATGCTTCTAAGGCAGCACCTTAAAGTTAATGTTCAAACTGTTAGACCAGAAGCTGCTTCAGTTAGTCAGCATACCTTCTTTAAGAGGATTAATCTGCCTGCAAGAGGTGTGAGACTACACAGAAAATAGAACAGCTAATCCTGGAGATGGACTTGATAAAAAGATCCCACCATTAGTACTTACACTCTGAGAAACCCTGTCAAGGTGGACAGTGATAAAGGGAGTTTTTGGGGTCCATTTTGGGACCTTGGACTTCTGTTAGCCAAGTTTGAATGTTTCAATTGCACAGAAGAGAAGTGTGTTTTATAGTAGTGTGCCAAGAGTCTTTCTCATTTATTCAGATGTAAGTGTAGCCCAGGGACATTATTATTAATATTTAGAACTTACATGATTTAAAGATTGATTGACTGTACGGGACAGTTTTCTAGGAAAAACTCAATATTTTCCCTTCTTCTTCTATTATTATTTTATTTTCTCCTCCTCTTTCTTCTCCTCCTTCTTTATTTTTAAAACAAGCACCATATGTTGAGTGCCTGCTTCATAGTAGGCTGGTGATATATGTATAATGTATAATATTGTGTCATTACTGCATGTGCATAGTTGTATTATATACATATAGTACATTATTATATGTATAATGTGTCACATTAGACACTCTACCTGGCACTTTATATGCACATTTCAGTTAATCACAATAAATTTTGAGGTAAATATTGTTGTCTTCCTTTTACAGAAGCTACAGGACTTCTCAAGGTCACCTACCAAATAAGTGACAGGGCTGGGGGTCAAAGCCCATTTGTCTGACTCCAGGTCCCACCTACCTACCCTCTTCCTACTATTCCTAGCTGTCTCTGCTGTCATTTCTTTCTTTTTTTTTTTTTTGAGACAGAGTCTCGCTTTGTTGCCCAGGCTAGAGTGAGTGCCGTGGCGTCAGCCTAGCTCACAGCAACCTCAATCTCCTGGGCTCAAGCAATCCTGCTGCCTCAGCCTCCCAAGTAGCTGGGACTACAGGCATGCGCCACCATGCCCGGCTAATTTTTTCTATATATATTAGTTGGCCAATTAATTTCTTTCTATTTATAGTAGAGACAGGGTCTCGCTCTTGCTCAGGCTGGTTTCGAACTCCTGACCTCGAGCAATCCACCCGCCTCGGCCTCCCAGAGAGCTAGGATTACAGGCGTGAGCCACTGCGCCCGGCCTCTGCTGTCATTTCTTATCATTTTATTATCTTCTGTGTAACCAGTTATTTAAATGTATGACCTAATGGGGTGTCTTTTGTGCAAAAGTCTGCAATTAGATTTCAATATCATAAACTTCTCCCTCTTTAGGAAAGGTGCTCTCATTTATTTTTGGATCATAAAATGTGATCTCATTTCTATTTAAGCATATGTTTTAGAATCCAAGGTGGAGGAAGGGGAGGAACATGAGAGGAAGATATTAAGATATTAAGGAAGATATTAAGATATTAAGGAAGATATTAAGATATTTGTTTATTCAGTTTAAAGATTTTAACCTCCCATTTGTCCCTCTCCTTAACCGCCTACTTTTAGGGAGTTTGAGGACTTGGCTCTGATGCTAGCTGGTCTGACTTCCCGGAGACCAGACACACACAGGATGGGGGTGGCACCATGTTGGGCAGGCCAAGAAATGGGCTGTGGGGAGAGCCATCCCTAGGGACAATGGTCCTTGGGTCAGCAGTAGTGCAGCCAGGCATTATATCCAGAAAGTCCAAGAGAGGCAGCTGTCTTGCAAGTGAGCGGCCCTTGTGGTGAGGAGACACCAGGTGGACAGAGGTAGCAAGTACTGAGCTGCCAAGAGTTCAGGGACCCAGCTGGGGTTCGTGGGAGCAGTCAGCGAGTGCAGTGGTCAGTGCTGCTGCGTCTGAGAGCTCCATCTCTGCATGCCCCATAAACTTCAGGGGCTCCTCCTATAGGGCCCACTACCCACGGAAGCAGTTTGTCACAGTGCCCTGGTGGAAAGCTGGTTGGATGCTCCACCTTCTGTTCTCGTTAAGGACTTGTGCTTTGGAATCAGACAGACCTGGGTTCAAACTCTAACTTTGCTTCTTATTAGTTGTGTGATTTGGGATAAATTATATAGATTCTCTAACTTAACTTCCTCAGGTATAAAATAAGGATAATTCTTACCTAATACAGTTGTTTTAGTTGATTTTTATATTTTATCTAATTTTGTGCATAATATTTTAATATTAATATTTAATGCAGCATACTAAACCACCCCAAACTTAGTGGCATAAAACAAACAGCATCTCATCACATTTGCAGACTGTGGGTCATTCATTCAGACATGGCACAGCAGGGGTGGCCAGCTTGCCTCCCTCCCCTCTGGCGTCTCTGGCAAGCACAGTCACCCCCTCCCTGCATCCCGGTGATATAGTGGTTGTTTTAGGAATGGGCACAGCCAAATATGAGTAAGGGGTAGGAAGTTTACTGTGGATGTCTAGAAAAGGAGTTTCCTGTCTCTTGTAGGACATGAGCTGTGAATGAGGAGGAAGCCGACCCTGTGGGCCTCAAAGTGTTGCGGCAGTGGGAACGTAGGCATCTGAAGTTGCCACAGATCATCCAGCTCTGGGCTTCACATTCCCAGGGTCAATAAACATCCAATCTGTTTAGTGTTTTTTTTTTTACTGTTGTTGGGTTTTTGGGTTTTTTTTGGTTTTTTATTTTTTAGATGAGGTTTTGCTATGTTGCCCAGGCTGGTCTCAAGCTCCTGGGCTCAAGTGAACCATCTGCCTCAGCCTCCCGAGTAGCTGGGACTATAAGCACACGCCGCCTTGCCTGGCTCATTGACTGTTGTTTTTACTCGCCGCTTAAAGCATCACGACTGATACATGAATAGTGGTTCACTATGATGGCACAAGGTAAACTCCCCATAAAGGAGAGCAGCATTATGGGGTCACCTTTCTGCATAGAAGCCTCTGTTCTTATTGCCATCACAGCACTAGGCACTCCAAGTATTAATGAACAAGACAGAACCACTTGATCATTTAATCTACGCTTTTCTATGGAGTAGGCATCCCCGACCAGGAAGGGTACAGCAGGAAGCCTGGAAACTCCAAGCGGACTGGAAGGGACACAAATGCTCAAGGGAGCCTTCAGACTGCTCACCCTGCCCTCCAGCTTCCGCCAAACTCTGGCCTGAAACAGCATGGTGTTTCTGGAAGATACATTTGTCATCATGCTATGCTCTGTTTGTATTGTCTCTGAAAGAGATATGTCTGTGCACACAATGACACTTTTCTTTCCAGAACATTTTAGGGAACAAGGTTATCCACATCCATTCTAGAATCTTAATCAAATGTTCACTGTCTTAAGCAGAATTTCTGCAACAAATGATGCCAAAATGTCCACACAAACCCTAAAAGACACCTTCTCAGGGACCTCCTCTCAACCCAAGAGTCAGAGCTGTCTTAGAACACTCACGGTAGGGTCTTTCAGGAATGAGATATCCATTCCAACAACATGCAGGACAATTATTCCTCCAGAAAAGCTACTGAGAAATTCGATCACAGTGAAGAAGACAGATTTTCAGGTTCAATACCGCCACACCCCTTGCTTGCCACGGAGTCTTGGGCAGGCCACCTGATGGCACTGAGCCTCAGTATTCTCAGGTATGATGCAGGGATCATCCACCATGGGGTAAAAATTCACTGGATAATATGTCTAAAGTGCCTGGCAAGACACAGGGCCCACAGCAAGTGCTGGGTCAGTGGAGTCACCTTAGGAATGCTTGGAGTGGGCTCAGTTCCCGCTTACCAGTACGGTACCATGGGGAAATGCCAGCACCTTCACAGGGGAGGGTTTCTTAGGATTAAATAAGTGCATGTGTGTATGTGTGCAAACATACAGATAATATATATACATACATTAAATTATCAGTGGTGTCTACCAATCAATAAATGTTGGGGAGCACACCTCCACAAGAGCTGTCGATGTATTGTGGGGATTGTCCCGGCCCCCAGGACCATTACTCATCATGCTGGTCTTGCCAGGAGAAGGACCCTACTGGATATGGCCCTCAGTTACTCTCTTCCCTGGGAAGAAGAGACTCAGAATGACAGTTTGGTCAGTCGGATGACAGTGTCTAAGGAATGTACCTCTGTACCTATTCATGGGACACCCTGTCCCTGTCCCATCCTGTCACATTTACAGGTCCTTGGAAGGGCTGGGCAGGGCTACCTACAAGGTGAGCTTAGGGCTGGGCCCCCTGATCCTCTCCTTACCTGACAGGGACTGACCACACACATCCTTGGGGCTGCCTCGAGCCCTGATGACGGCCATGCAATTCAGAGACAGACGGGAGACTCAACTGTGGTGCATGTGTACCAGAAAAACAAAGCAAGCAATGCCACATGGCACTGGGCATCTCTTTTGATAGCCGTGCCTGAAAGAATGACTGTCATTTAATTTAAATTTCCCTTATATACACAAGTTTACAGGAAGAGTTAAGAATACTTGAAATGTCAACTGTTTACACAACCTTTTGCCTTTTCCCAATAATGATGATGTGCATGTTTCCATCTCATTGCAAGAGCAGTGAGTTTCTGCTCTGGGCACCCCTTTCTATGGATCGTACCCTCCACGTGTTCGGCTGTGGGGCATCTGGCCTGCTTCCAAGTTTTTTCTGCTATGAATAGCACTGCAAAAACACCCCCGGGGCAAGCCGCTCTTTTTTTCACAAACCTTTTGCATGCTCACTAGAACATTGCTGTTTCTTTCCTTCCCTTCTTTTATTAGAGTATGGAAGAAAGGATTTACTCAACTTACCCTAGACAGAAAGGGCTTCTTAAGGGAATCTTCCTGCTGGCATGAGGCAGCGCTGCTCTATCCCTGTGGGCCCCCTGCTGTTCTTGACCGCCTTCCTTGCCCCCGCCCTCTGCCGCTGGACCTGCCTTCTCACGTGCTCTGCCCCTTACCTGGCTTTTGTCAGGGGCCGCGGCTCTGGCAGCACCGGCCAGCCAGTCTCCTTGCAGTTTCGGTTTCTGTGACAGTAGGCTCAGCCTTTTAGATGCCACGGTCCATGTTCCTAGTGGGGCCGTCTCCTTAGTGGAACTCAATCTCAGGCCAGGCCAGGGCAGAGGGAGACCGGCCAGTGCCGGGCAGGAGGGCTCTGCCACAAAGGGAACCAAGTTCACAGTGGACCTTGGAACTGCGAAGGTCCCCCATATGTGGATTTTCTTCCTCCTCTGCTACCCCTGAGACAGCAAGACCAACCCGGCCTCTTCCTCCTCCTCAGCCCATTCAACATGGAGATAATGAGGATGAAGGTCTTGATGAGGCTCCACTTCCATCTAGTGAACAGTAAATGTGTTTTCTCTTCGTTACGATCTTCTTAACATTTTCTTTTCTCTAGCTTACTTTATTGTAAGTGTAAGTATGTAACCCATGTAACACACAAAATACATGTTAATCCTCTGTTTATGTTATCAGTTAGGCTTCTGGTTAGCAGGAGGCTGTTCATAGGTGAGTTTGGGGCAGTGAAAAGCTACATGTGGATTTCGACTGGGTAGGGGTTGGTGTGCCAGCCCCACGTTGTTCAAGGGCCAACTGCAATTTGATCTCCAAGGGGAATTTCACAAACCACTCCCAAAACTTAGTGCCTAAAACCCGCCACCACCACCATCGTTTCTGCTGACAGTTGTCTAGGCCCTGCTTAGCCAGGGCCTAGGAGGGCGGTGCTGGCCTCTGCTGGCGTCCCTCTGGGGCTGCCTGTCCGGGTGTGCAGGCCAGGCCAGGGGCCCTGAGCTGGGACCGCCGTCAGTGCTTTTGGGATCTCGTCCTGCAGCCAGGGAGGCAGGAGGGCAAGTCCCAGTGGCCAAGGGCTTCCCAATTCCTGCTGTGTCACGGTTGCTAGGGTTGTGTACCAAGCCCAGCAGCATCCGTTTGGGAGAGTTATAGAGGGCACAGGCATGCGATTTAGTGTGGTTTGGGGGCCTTTGCCATAACTCTTTACCACACACATGTATGAAAGCCCATATATAACCTGAAAAGTTCAAAGGAGGATTCTTTTCATACTGCTTTAAACATGTCTCATTTCTGGATCTGGTCACTGTGAATGTATATCTTTTTGTTAAGCCTTATAATTATCTCATGAATAGCATGATCATGTTGCATTTTTCTGTCTACTTTTGTTAAAGGTTTTAATGTATTCAATGTAAACATTGAAACTATACCACACATTTTGTAATCCTGCATTAGCATCTTTTTTCCTTTTTATGTACCAGGTACATGTAAAAATGGAAGTGCCATGGGCCTCTCCTGGCCACTCCAGACCACTGGTCGCACATCTGGTTATAGCGTCAGCCTACAGGTGGCTTTCCTGGAGTGAAGGGAGGCCGACTCGGAGGTGGAGATTCGCGTACAGGACAGTGGCTAGATGGTGTTCCTGGCAACGCCCTGGGGAGGGGAGGGGGGGAAGAAGGGCGGGTGAGGGAGAAGTTGAAAGGCAACAGAGTCATCAGAGGTCTCAGCCCGTCCCAAGGGGAGCTCTGGCGCTGGGATGGCCTGAGTTAGGGCAAAGAGGGGTCATTATTACCACCCCTGCCCCACCGACCAGCCATTGGATGCAGCTGCTGCCTCTATTGGGGCCCTGAGCTTGGGCAGATCTTGGAGAGGGACTCCACTGGGCACTGCCACCACTCACACCAGCAGCAGCTGGCAGAATTAGCCCATCAGTCAAGACAGGGGATTGGGCAGGGTGGCCTTTGTGTGTGCCACCCCAACCAAATCTCTCCCGCAGCACGCGAGACCGTGACAGGGCCCACACAAATACAGGTCTGCCTCCCCTGGGTGGAGCGTGGCCCTGGCAGGCCCACTGAGGCCTGCCCCATCCAGAGTTGCTACCGTTGGTTAGAATTAATTCAGAGATGCCTGTGTGCCCCGCCTCCCTTGCATAGATACTGAGTTTTTCTGTAGCAGGCATTTGTCTGTGAGCTTAGACGCTGCTCCCTGGGTCAACAGCAGTCTCATCCATGGGCACCCCCGGTGGCCACCCACTTCACAGTTCATAAACCACCTCCTGGATTAGGACTCCCAGCCACGGATCTTCCATGTCAATGACAAAGAGCCTCAAGGCTTGCTCCTGGACGGTGACCCCCATGCAGGCACCACCACACGTGGTCTTCAGTGACACTGCGCAACGTTTCTCACCCAGCCAGTGGTATGCTGTAAGCAATTAGCACAGTCTGGGGGGACTTAAACAACAGACACTATTCCTCGCAGTTCTGAAGGCTGTGGAGTCCGAGGCCAAAGCATCTGCAGGGCGATTCTCCTGAGGCCTCTCACCTCGGCTTGCCTCTCACCTCGGCTTGCCTCTCACCTCGGCTTGCCTCTCTCCTCGGCTTGCACTTGCTGCCTAGTCCCTGAGTCCTCACGTGGTCTCCCCTGTGTGGCTGTGTCCTAGTCTCTTCTTCTTATAGGACACCAGTCATGTTGGATTAGGGCCCACCCTTATGGCCTCCTTTTACTTAATTATCTCCTTAAAAGCCCTGTCTCTAAATACAATCACTTTGGGGTTAGGGCCTATACATTACTGGGGCACACATTCAGTCTGTAGCACGCCAGCCCACTGTTTCATGCATGTTCTCTTCAGGTGGCAGCTTCCAACCCTGGC